TTTCTCTGTTACAAATTACAAGTTTTTCTTATTTTGGGGGCAAGAAAAGCTCACAATTAATGCCATAGTAATGACTGTAGACAAGAGTTGTAGGAGACATTTAATTTATAGCTTCTGTTTTCAAAATTTTCTAACATCTCTTCAAAACCCCCCCTTGGACTATAATTGCTCAAGTATACCATGTCAAAAAATTACTTTTTCCTTTGAATTTTTATAAAAAGAAATAAATTTTCAGCCACTAAATACAACTTTTAAAAAGCTGAATCTCATATTCCTAATTTTTAAAAATTAACTGTTTATCTAAAATAGACTTTAAAAATTCAGAGTAGGCACATCACCCAGCATGGCCACATGTCTGATAACTTTAAGAACAAATTAGAATTATGGAAGTCAGAAGTACTTTGCTTCTTAATTCTAGATAGATAATTTTGTCTTGACAATTCTAGATTCTTTACAGTGAGATCCAGACATACTGTAACATTAATAGATGTTAATATTATTTCCTCAGCTTTCACAAAGTATTTATCCTTTGTGCTCAAGCCTGTTGTTATTCCCCCAGAGCTGAAAGGAATTTCTCTGTATCGCAAGCTATGTTTGTCTGTGGGTTTAAGGTGACTGTTGTCTGTCCTACTTCAAGAGATCAGAAAAGGACTCCAGACCATCTGAAAGGCAAGTTGAATACAGAAAGCTTTTCAGTTCTTATGCAGAGGGTAGATGATGTGCATTTCTCTCCTTTTTATGTGGAAAGTCATATTGGCTTTTTCAGCTACCAAAATAGTGGGTGTGTGGGGTCTGCATAGAAAGGGCAGTATCAACCTCAGCAGTAAGTGAGGTACTGCAGAAATTTTAGCATCTGCAGGCACATTTACATGTGTGCTTTACTGCATAGTAGACTAATTTACTATGCAGTTAAGAGTAACTGTCTACACATGAGCAGCAATTGGGTCAGTGTAGACTAATTTACAGCGCTGTTTGATAATCCCGTCAGACACAGGTACTATCCAACAGCAGGGTATATTACTGTGCTTAAATGCATGTGTAGAGAGTGATGTTGGGATTAGTTTACTTTGGCTCAGATTGTGCCAGAGTTTATTCAGTCACATTAACTGCACATGTAGATGCTCTCTGCATGTTCAGTTAGAGCCCTACAGACAGTTTAGGTTTTTTTGTAGTGCAGTATTTTTTCAGTTTCCCTTGAAAAGTAAGAAAAACATGTTGATTGCATTTTCTGATTGCTTTACTAACTGAACATATTGGATGCATCTACATGTGCCATTAATGTGATAAGATAAATCCTGGCACAGTTTGTGCTAGAATCAGCTGCTTCTAGGCGCAGTGTCTGCGCATGCACCCAGGGCCGCAGCAGCATGAGCCAGGGTGGACCAGCCCTGGGCTGGCAGCAGGCTTGGTGGGGGGGCAGCCCCAGGCTCCAGGTGGCAGCCTTGGGCAACAGAGGGGATGGCTGGGGCATGTGTGCGCCAAAACTGCAGAGCTGTGTAGCTGATTCCCCAAGCCTGCTGCCAGCCCAGGGCTGCTCTGCCCTGGCTTAAACTGCTGTGGTCCTGGACACTGTCCACCCGTGTTTCTGCACAGTAATGACTCTGTACTATCTTACAGTGGATTTAATTTACTGCATCTTAAGACTGGTGCATGTGTAGACAGTAATGCTTTACTGAAGAGCTAATTAGTCAGCTGCAGCAAAGTGCACATGTAGATGAACCCACTAAGTAGAAAAGCCTACTGCTAGTACTAAAAGGGTGAAGTCTATGTGATATTCTGAATCCATCCAAATCTATGATCAGCAGTAGCATTCTCCCACAGCCCTGTCATCCATACATCTTATTACACATAGATATGACTGACCCAGGGTTAATCAGGTCTTAAAAGTAACAACTTAGCTGTAAGCAAACTTTAAAAACATTTAAAAAAATGGGAAATGGCCTGCATGGGCCCCACAATAAAACTTCACTTATTACATGGAAAAGTTAATTCCAGATTGTTACAAACCCCCTGCTTAGTTTTCAATAAATCCTGAAAGCTGAGAGCACAGAAATGGTTGCCAGTAAAACGTTTTTCAGAGTTGCAGCCCATATCACCACCAGGATGAAGAACGCATCAGAAAGAACAGCAGGAGACACCTGCGCAGGAATAACAGCGCCCTCAAAAAATGCAAGGATGGGAGGCTTAGCATCCAGACTGTGCTCACATCTCTTTGGATAAGAGGTTTATTTTTTAAATATTTTAAACTTGATAATCTTACATATAGATAGCATCTTTCACCTAAGGATCCACAACAGCTTTACTTGTATGCATCCAAATATACGCTCAAAACATGCATGAGACTCCACTTAGCAGAGAAAGAAGGTACAGAGTAACTATGTTGAGGGGACTAAAATACAGATGTGATAGAGAGTTCTAAATCAAGATTGTCTGATCCTCCTTTGTTCTCTCAAGTAACATTTATAGGATCTTGTAGGGATTTTAAGTGTTTCAGTAACTCTAGTTCTCTGGTTTTTGCTGTTTTCAGTTAGTTGATATTTTTAAACACTACACTAAGGTAGGGGATGGGGGATAAAGCTGAAACTGTGTTTTTGTACTTAGTGTGCCCATATCATTATCTTTTCTGTGGAGCACTCCAGTTCCCATACAGTTTTATTCAGTGGTCTGCACACTAGAGGCAACCCCCGCTTAGCACTCTTAATTGGTTCCTGAAAAACCAAGCGTTAAGTGGAACCAAAAGTATATGATGACCTAAGATGGCAACCGCAATTGTTTTTAATGACCCAAGCGTTAATGGCAACTGCAAGCGTTACAACAAAGCTCACTGAGCGCTAAGTGAAATCAGGTGTAAATTTAAAACAAGCATTATAGCAAAATAGCGCTAAGCGAAACAGCGTTACACGGGGATTGTCTGTATTGCTTCTCTCCCCTGTACATACCTACCCTCTTTTTTCATTGGAACTATTTTAATCTTCATTCTTCTCTCCTGCCACCCTGATCAGCCACTCTAGGCTTTCCTTCAGGTTTCCAATGCCATTCCTTTACCTACATTTATATGCCACGACAATAATATTTCTTTCTACTTCCTCCACAGCCATTTTAGTCCTCCCTGGTTTTTTTTTATTGGATTGATTTACTCCTAGGATTCCAATCTCTTTCGCCCACCCACCAAAGTATACACCATAGGGCACTCCTAAATCCCTTGATAAAATCTCTTTTTCTATTATGGGCCATCCATGCTAGGTACCCATCAGGTTTACTCTCTCAGCAAACACAGGTTTTAAACAAGCAGAGGCTATTACATTTTAAGCAAGGCTCCTGAGTCAGTGTAGAAGGGCCTTAAGTTTTTCTTTTAACTCTCCCTTGTACTCTTAGCTGTCAGGAATCCTCTCTGTTTTCTTGACCATGTGAAATCCTTAATCTAAATCTTGCTGTTCCACTGCAATCCTCCCAGCACAAAAGTCTGGTTTATACTTAGCATACTATCTGCAATGAGAGTTGGTGCCACGGTGAATTAATAATTCAGGCCAATAGCTCTCCTAGCCAAGTTGAGTCATGCTCACTCTCTGGTCCCTCAGGAATCTCTGGGACATTTTATCCTTTCCTCCATGCTCTCCCTTTGTATGCCACCTTTGGGATTTTTCCTCTCCACTTCCCACTACCGTGCTCTAATTCTGTCTCCATTTCTGTGCTGTTCCAGCCCTTGCCTGGCATGTCCCCATAGCATTCCAAATCTCTCAGCTCACCCTGGGCTACAATACTCTTCTTTCAACTCCCTGCACACTCCATTTCCTTTTCAGTTCCCTCGGCTGCTTTCTGATCTCAGTTTGTGTTGATATAGTGAGCACTGACCTAAACATCAGGGAGTTTGTATGTAAACTAAATGCTTCATAAGAATTCAGCTGTTACAGTCCTTCACTGATCAGCAGTTATTTTTCCACATTATTTTAAATTTTGTTTTTGATGAACAAGACATATAGTTCTTTCCACCTCCTTACACTTGATTGCCTACACAAAAAGATCATTTAAACCAGCCACCCTGGACTATTGTGTATTAAGCTTTGGCTCAGTTCACCTTTAGAAAGGAGGCATGAAATAACAGAAACATGAGTACACAGTAATGTTAGCAGTGCTCTTCAGCCCCGCTGCCATTTAGGACCCAGATGACTTCAGTGGTGTAAGAGGAACACAGGACTGAGTTGACACCGTGAAATGCTAAAGCCCTAACTTGCAATGGGATCTGTGTGCTCCAATTGCAGGCCCAGGGCTGAAGTATGATTGGGCACAATATGAGTTTTTCCTTCAGTTGCTCTGGCGTGAAAAAAAAATACACATGGTAAATTTGTTTACCAGCCTAAAAAGTTATGAAGTTCTCTTAAAGCTGAATATCCAAAAAGAAATTCAGTATATCTGAAAACACTCATTTGACTGAATAGTTCTCACATAATTTTTAGGTTATATGCTGAATTTTATCTATTTATTTATATTCCCTGACATTAAAACAGCCCTGAAAGTAACACCCTGGATAAAGCACTGGGCATGGATTTGAAAGGCCTGGACTGCGCTAGTTTCAGAGAGTATTTCATAGTAAGAAAATTCTGAAAGGGAGTAAAAAATATCTTTGTATTTATTAAGGAAACTCACCAGTCCTTTCTTGTAGCAGAATTCAGCACTTAGATACCTCTGCAATGAGCAAGTTATAAATATCTAGGGAGAAAAACTGAAGGAAAGTAGCAACACTGGAGTGGAAATGCCCATTTCAGTTCTGCTAGAACTTCATGCCTGGGAATGGCTGTTCATATGGGAATTCCTTGAGTCTACATAGTATTAAATTCTTTCCCTTTGCCCCCGCAACCTGACTGGTTCGAATTCCGACAGAGGCTCAGAGAACCACCAGCACTGCACTTACAGCTGAGTCACAGAACAAAGTTTTTCCTGACATCAAATTTCTTTTTTTTTTTAAAGTTAATTTTGAGATTAGGGATGATTATGCCACCTCCATGTTAATCGCTACTTGATCTAAAATGTCACATGAAGAAACAACACGTAGAAATATTAAAGCACTCATCTTATTGACATGGAACTGAGAACTGTTTAATAGAAGTCAGTGAAGGGATAACATTGTGCTTTTAATCTACAGTTTAAAAATAATGATTTGTATCATATCTACTTAGTAAAACAATAAAATTAAAAACAGAAACTATTAGGAAACAGTGAAAATGTAATAATTAAACACTTGATGTTTTTAAAAGCTATATAACTGAATGACCCTAAACAAAGACGCCTATGATTAAAAGGGTCTTTAAGAAGAGATTTGTTTTCAACAACTCGTTCAGTTTTGACTAATATATTGTATGCCTCACTTTGGTGTTTTCTCTGCTGTCAATTTAATGCTATACAGTATATTTACACTTATGTTCTTTTCAAATGCTTGGCATTATAGTGAGATCTCATATCTTTTCTCAAATTAAATTTGGCTCCACACACTCCACATGTATACAGATGAACATCCATGTGCTGCTCCAGTTGTTCATTATTTGGGAATATCTGAAAGCAGACCTGGCATATAGTCTCTCCAGCTGATAAATGAGATATCATATGCCGTACATGGTCATGTTTTCTGAAGTTTCCTTGATCACAAATGGAACAGACATACCTGGCCATGCCTTTGTGCATATCATTGTGGAGCCGCAACTGGCGTTCTCTTAAAAACTGCTTTCCACATGTCTGACAAACAAACTGTTTTTCCTTGGTATGAACAGTATAGTGTTCCCGCAAGTGACAACGCTGATAAAATCCTTTCCCACAGAGATTGCAGAAATGTTTTCGTCTGTGATCTCTTTCATTCTCTTCCATAATGGCATTCTTAAACAGATCTTGGTCCAGGCAGTTTGACATATGTTCAACCACTAGATTTTCAGTTTCAAAACGCTGACCACAATTAGGACATCGGAAAGGACAGGTAGAATGCTTATATAACTGTTTTTTGGGAAGACTGTTCATTTGGAAATGACTGTCCCTGAAGTCCTCCAACATCTCTGCAAACATCATGTCCCTGATTTCGGACTGTTCCTCAGGATTCTCTTCTAAATCCATTTTTTCCTCAGAGTTTCTTATCCCGTTCATGGTCAGATCCTGAGGCTCTCCACATGTCTGCGCATGATCCTGCAACTGTTTACCTTTGACCAGTATTTGACCACATTTGCCACAAGCACAGATATTTTCTATGTGCTTCGACAAGTAATGAGAGGACAGGTCTTCCTCTGTAATCGTGAGCCCACACAGTTCACAGGGGCCGGTCTCTGTATCTTCCTGTACTGGGGAGATCTTGCTGCTAAGGTGCCTTGCACTCTTTAAATACTTTCTTTCCTCCTCGTTCATTAATAACCGGGGTTTTAAAGTTTTTCGAGCTCTTCTCTTTTCACTGACCTCTTCCTCATAGTATCTGTAAAGTGGCTCTTCCGGTTCATCATCTAGTTCATCATTGTCAGTAGATTCGTTACAGTCTTTATCTGTCACTTTAATAACATTAAACTCTTTCATTTCATCCACAGGGCTGTCCTCTGGTTCCATCTTGATCATAATTCGCTTCCTCTCTGCAGCTCTGCTTCCCTCTTCACCTGATGTCTCAGATGCAACTGTGCTGCTTTTTCTGCTTGTAACATTTGACACTGGAGACAAAGACCCATCGGCTGCTTGGCTCGGATCCCCTTTGCACTTGTGTATTTGTGCAGATAGGTTTTTGGAAGTAGAGTCTTTTTCGCTGAAGTCCATTTTTTCAATGCCATAGTACTTGGCGTTTTGGTATGGATGCCTGTTCGTGCATGTCAGCACATGCTCATCCAGTAACTTTTCGCAGCTAAAACTAAACCCACAGCTGTCACAGGTGAAGCTTCTTCCAAAGCGTCGTGAATGTGACACACGCTCTTTTGTGCTGGAGAATTTGGACACAGTGCTTTTTTTGCACGCATCAAACAGTTGTTCAGGGAAACTGCTGAGCTGCAAAGCTTCTTCGTCAGGCTCTTTGTGATGTGATGTGTTTACTGTTGAACTTGGCGGCTCTGTGCACCACCTGTTTCCTTCACTACCATTTCTAGCAACGGTGTCTTCATACATTCGTACGCCAAATATCATTTTGCTATTTTGGGTGGTAGAAGCAGAAGATGAACATTTTAAACTAGAGGAGTCTGTGTCTTGTATATCTTCTAAACATTCAGGGACATTGTATAGCTGTAAATAGTTCATTGCCACTTTAAACTGCTCAAAATTGGCCGGGGCAGTCAAAATTTTTCCTAAATACATGAACTGCAGAATAAGATCAAAACATTCAGCACTAATCTTCATGTTGCTGAGATTCAACTGGGCTGTAGTGTGTTGCTGGTTCATAAAAAACATCCTAAAATATGAGCTACAGGCAGCCAAGACTGCTTTATGCGCTTGAAAATAAATATCATCAATAGCAATGCAGCAGTCACAGAGAAAACCCCACTCTCTTTGGTTGTTTAGCTGCTGAAGAACATAGTTGCTGTGGCTGGTTCTTGCCATCTTGTCCTTCCGTTACAGTCCTGCGTAAAGAAATAAATACTTGGTTATATGGTCAGCACAGAATGCAAGCTCATTGTAATATAGAGGCCAATTTCAAAATTACAGCCTTGGTCCAAACATTTTTTACAACCTGATTGAAAAGGTCTACCTAATACTAAAAGCCTCGTGAAGAAAACTGGAATAACAGAAGTATCTGCTATTTATACCTCCCTTACAACTAGACCCACAGTACCAGTAAATCGATAAGCTTTACCAATGCAACTGTACTGATCTCAATAAAACTGGTGTCAAAACACAAGTCAATTACAAAAACCCATGGCTGAAATATTCAGAAACAATTCATGACTGACGTGCAGCTTTAAACACTTTAAAGGGGCCTGATTTTCAGAAAGGCTGGGCATCCGATTTCAAACAATCAGATCTTTTAGAGAGTCTCAAACTGGACACCTGCCACGGGATAAGCTGCCTCTTAAAGGAGCCTGGCTCCAGTCTCACCTGTGACTAATCTCTTGCATCATCAAGAGGTCATGCGGCTAGGAACCAAACCTGCTGGGAAATACAAGGACAGCTTGAATTCACGGAGCTTGCTCAGAAAAAGAGCAAGTTGGTGTTAAACCTCCAGAATGTCTAGAATTGAGACCAGATAAGAAAAAAAAAAAATATTTGGGTGGAAGAATTGTGAAATTCTACAAGCCCAAGGATGGGACTACAGGGGAAAAGAAGCCCCAATAAAGGGCCAAAAAACTTTTTAAGCCTTGAATTTATGATTGCCAAAGCTTGTGATAAAACAAAAGAATTAAGTGGACCTGGGAAAGACATAGTTGGAAGCTTTATTTTATGACAATAAGCCATACCCAGAAGGGAGGCAGTACTATGAAAGTGGCAGGGGTGATGGTGCTGCTACACCACCTGAAACCAGTCATTTCTGCAAACCTTGACACCATATCTCACCTATCTGTGGAGACTGCAGATGAGAAATGTGGGGAAAAGTGAAGGGAGGACAGACAATTTCCCAATGGAAGAAGAAAATATATACTAGGCATGGGATTTTCTAGCTTCTGAAATGTTATTGCAAGTAGTGGAAGGTCATGGAAGGTATACAGAGAAGGGCTACCAAAATGATCAGCAGTTGCCATACCAGGACAAACAAAAAAGGCTAGGACTCTTCAATATGGAAAACAGAAGACTGAGGGGGCAATGTGATAGAGGTCTATAAAATCATGAAGGGTGTGGGCCAAATGAACAGGGAACTGTTATTCACCTAGTCCCAGAATACTAGAACTAGAGGACACCAACTGAAATTAGGAGACAGGTTTAAAGCTAACGAGAGGAAGTACTTTTTTTATGCAGTACATAGTTAACTTGTGGAACTCACTGTCCCAGGAGGTGGTAGAGGCAGATTGCATTACCAGGTTAAAAAAGGGACTAGACCAGGGGTTGGCAACATTTGGCCCACTGAGCTGCTGGCTCCAGCCTGCAGAGCTGAAGGGCTTTGTTTGTGCCTATACTGCCATGGCTTCTCTGAGCCCTCACTCCCACTTCCTGACTTCACGTGGGCTCAGGTAGGGGGCTGTGCCCAGGCAAGGGAACTGCAAACTGCATTCACACTGCTGCTGCTTCTCTCCACTCCCTCTTGCCTGTCCCACCCCACCTACCAGCTACAGTGTAGGGACACCTGGAAGCTGCAGAGACCTGGTGCAACTCCCCAGGGACTGGACGCTGCATCGGTGCTGCAGCCAGGGCGCAGAAAGAAGTGGCAGTGGCACATGTAAAGCTGGAAGCTGCTCAGCTCCAAAACAGCTCCTCTGCCTGCACCTGCACTGAAGACCCGTGTCAGGGCTGTGAAGCTCCTGGCAGCATCTACACTGCAGCTGGGATGTGGGGAGGAATGGAGACAAGCTGTGGCAGCAAGAATGTAGTTTGCAGCTTCTCTGCCCTGATGCAGCCCCTCACTGGCTGGAGGCTGGGCCTGAATGCAGCCTGTTCATGCATGTTAGTACATGCTCATCCAGTAACTTTTCACAGCTTTCATAGAGGGGGAGGGGGAGGACACAGGGCAGGGAAGGGCAGAAGCCTGGGAGAAGTGGTGGCAGCAATGCGGGGGCAGCTCCCAGTTGTCTGCCTTGGTGCAGGGAAAGCCAGTCACTGACATGGCACCAAAGCCACCTGGGCCTGTGCCGCACCAGAGTTGGGCTGGTTTGGCTCATGGCTTATTAAAGATTTCCAACCACTGAACTAGACAGATTCATAGAATCACAGACAAGTAGGGCTGGAAGGGACCTCCAGAGATCTAGTCCAGGGGTGCTCAACCTCTAGTCCGGAGGCCAAATGCAACGCGGAGAGCCATGGCATCTGGTCTACTGCAGGGCTCCCCATGGGACAGGACATTTGGTCACAAGGGAACAGTTGTAGGTAATACCGCCACCCTCCCCTGCTGCCAGATGCCCGAGCACCGTGGGGTCCGATTGGGGCAGGCCACACTCCCTGTCCCTTCCCCAGCACCCTAGTCTATATATACAATTGGTCTGACCCAGTGTGGCACTTAAGTTCTTAACAAAAAGAAAGCACTGTTTACAAACAATTTATAATATTAACACTGCATTAAAATGTACCTGTGAAATGCCTGGGCTGATTTGTGACTGGAATATTTTCCCCTTCACTCTTTCGGTTGTCATCCTTTCTATATACAGTACCTCCCTTTCTTTCCTTTACCCATTTTCTTCCTTCTAACATGGATGGAGGTCAATATATGGGCAGACCTAACAGCACTTTTTTTCCACACAGGTTGCCTCAGTGATGATGATACCTGCATTATATAGGTGGGCACAGGAATAACTATTATTCTCCCTTTCCTTGAGCTGTCAGAGGGCTGGAAGCACCATGGAAACAGTATGCCCAGTCCCTAGAGAAAAAGCAAATATCTCTGACTGCCCAAATACATCCACTACTGTCAATGAAACAGCAGTATTTATGGCTCACTAACAGAAATGAGGCTTTGGCTGGAAGTTGGTTGTCTGCAAGAAGGGGCTGTGAGCTTTGGTTGGGCTGAAGAAAGAGAGTCCTCTGAGCCTATGAAGGAAAAGGAAGACTTCCCTCTCCAAGCAGAGAGTTCTTTATGATGTGAATCCCCTCTCAGAGTTGTTCGGTAAGGTGACACCAACCACAGAACTACTTTTTCATTGCATGTAACAAGCCAAGGTGTTCTCTCAGTTGCTAGTACGCTGTCGCTTTAGGAACAGCAGAGTCAATTCTTTAATTTCCCCAAAGGAGTCCTTTACTCTCTTGGAAGGCAACATCGTTCTAAATGACAACAGAAAGATTTCTCAGTATCTGAATAACTTTGCATGGTTTTGAAAACAAAAGAACTCTAGAATTAAAAAGTTGCCATAAAATACACTTCACAGGTCTCTGTTAATGAGGCACTTGACCTAACTGCTCGGACCCGTGTGATAGCATGCTGACTTACTATTTAACCCCTAAGAATAGCCACTGAATGTTAGCTAATAATTTCAGTTCAATCGACAGAGTCTGCATTTTAAAAAAAGCAAAAACAGTGGGGAGATAAGTCCAAAACCAATATTGACCTCTCATGTGTGATAAGGCATGAGGACTGCTATGAAATGCTATCAGTCAGAAAAGTCCATTTAGAACTGCTAAATCACCCTAACTGGAATTTTTTTTATCCTTGCAAAATGGGAAATTTAAACATTTCAGGAAAAAAATGTTCCCAAGCTTATTTTTCTGGGGGCATTTTGTTAAGTTTACCAACTGAAAAGCAGGTCTGTAACAGGATCACCCTGTGACAAATAAATGATAGTACATTTCCTGCCTGTAGAAATCTGTGAAAATATCCCTGTTCATTTCAACAGGCACTGGAGTATGGTGGGAAAGATGCACTTCTTTAAGTTTCTTGCCTCTTTGGAAGCTGTGGGAAGCTGTTTCTTTTGAAAGGGAAGTGCTGGGAAATATGATAGTCAACTTGCACAATTTTCCAGCACTTGAGGAAGACAGGCTAGCATCTCTCCTGAAACCTCTAGAATGAACTAGCCAGCTCTGTATGGCACGAACATCAGTAAAGCGCTGACATTTTGGTCCTTTTACTGTACTTGGGATGTTTAAATATCAAGACACAGGAAACGCTCACATTTACTTATTTTAGAATTACTACTGGCACCTGCTTTACTAAATTTAAGCCCATTTCTTAAAACACACCTTTTTCTCCAGGCTCAAAATTAACCTACCATTTTGACTGGATATTCAAAAAACAACACTGCCTGAATATTGGGTGTTCAGGGCAAGTATGGTCAACACTTCCTATGATAAGGTCCCGTTTTCAGTTGCTTATATTTTCACATACTTTAACCATGTGAGCTGAAACTGTCCCATGCAGACTGTCTACCACAGGGTGAATACTTTCAGAAAATTTCAGCCAAAATGTTTTAACTATTTCCAAGAACAAGGCTAAGGAAGAAAACACCGTTTTGCTGATATTAGAAAAAGCCCTTCCCTTTTCTCTTGAAGCTGCAGTCCCCCTACACTTTGGACAGTAACTTTAAATTTAGCAAGCAGGTGGCATTTGTGGCAGGGTGTGCCCTTTTATTGTGAAAACTCTGCCCAAATTTGATCATTATGGATCTCTGAAAAATCCTTTGGCACATGCTCAGTAGAGATATCTTAAATATTTAACCACCAAAATCTCAGATGATACTCTCACTGAGCATGTTCCATCCTTCTAGGATTTCTATGCGAGCAGGCTGTACCTATGCCATCTACAGGCACACTTCATCTGCTCACAGCCCTCATGTGTACCAGCTCCTCAGGGCAACTGGAAGGGCTCCAGCCAGAGCTGCAGGGTCCCACTAGGAACTCCCCTCCAACAGAAGCTCTGGGCTTGGTACTGTTACTCAACTCAAGGAGCTTGCATCTCCTCTACATCCAGCATCTCCCTGCTGCTACCCAAGCAGCATGGAAGAAAATATCCGATTTGAATGCTGAGTATACAGAGGTTGGACTTAGGGCCAGGGAAAAGTAGAAGATAAAGACTAGGAGTAATGGGAGTATGGGGAGCCTGAGGGGGAGCACCAAGAACGGATGAGGAAGACAGGGAAAGAGAAGAGAGAGAAACAGGCCCCCGCCTCACTTAGGGAGGAATTTTGCTTTCCTTTGTGTGTATGGCAGCTTTCTAGCTATTTAAGTTGTGGTTTTGGCATTTGCGCACAGGTAGCAATTCAGCTTCCCCTGTAACGTGGACACACAAACATGTGTACGCAGCCTGACTCCGTGCAGTCCTCTACGTGCTGACCAGGCACATGTCAGGCACACTGGTACATGTCTACAATGGGCACATGTAAGACATGAAGACTTAGCCAGCCAGGAGCCTGTCTGCTAACAAGCAGACTCAGGAGGAGGAGGAGGAGGAGGAGGAGGAGGTGGACCTCCTGTATTTTAGCTCCAGTAACTGAACAATTATAACATTCACCCAGAAAGCAAGACACTGGGGTTCTAGGTCCCCCTTGCCCAGAATGGCTTTGAACCTGCATCACTGACTGCCCAACAGCACTCAAACCACCTCGCCACAGGTTAGGCCAGGGGCGGGAAATTTTTTCGGGGGGGGGGGGGGGGGGACGCGGCTACGTTTGGGGGGGGGGTGGGGGGCACTTAATGAGTTTTGATAAGGCATAAAGGGTTGCATGGGTAGCCCCGCCCCTTGACAGGAGCCCCACCCCCTGGTTGCCATCTGGAAGTCCCGCCTCCTAACCCTTGACCTTTGCCACTATAAGTCTCTCCTCTTGCCCAGGAAGTCCTCCTTTTGGGAGGGGGGTTGCTTATATATTTTGTATGGAGGGGTGGGGGGTGGATATGGTGCAGTATGTGGGGGTATAGGAGGGGTGTGTGGGTGTATGCATGGGTGTGAGAGGTGTGTGGGGTGTGGCTATGGTATGGGGCATGTGGGGGTATGGTGGGATGTATGTGTGGTTGTGTGTGGAGGTATGGGATGTGTGGTTGGGGTGTGAGTGTGTGTGGGACTTGGATGTACGTGTGCATATGATGGAGTGTGTGTGTGGGGAGACGTAGGTGTATGTGTGTGGGGTGTGGGTGTGGATATGTGTAGGGGGGTGTGAGTGGTTGAGGCATGGGGAGGGGAGGGGGGGGGCGCGGTATGGTGCAGGGAGCCGAGCCTGGCATCGCTGGCTCTCTTGATCTCTGTCCCACGCCTGCCCAGAGGGGTGCAGCGGATCCAGCACTGGCTTCTGCTGCTGCTGCTTCTCTCTCCTGTGCCTGCCTGGCAGGGCTGCATCAACTGCACCCTGGCTCCTACTGCTGCTCCCCACCTCCTGTCCTGTTCCTGCCCGGTGGGACTTTGTGAGCAGCCAAATTCCTTCACAGGCCCCCCTCACATCCATACGCTCCCCTGCCCAGCACAAGCAGGATCAGAGTGAGCTGCAGGCAGAGCCCAACCTGCTCCCCTCAACGCTGCAGCTTCCCCTCCCTACCTGCTGCCAGGAGTGCTGCAGCAGGGACAAGAGGAATTGCTGGAGGCTGGGGGGAGCCCAGCAGTTCCCTGGGGAGCAGCAGCAGCCCTGCTTTGAAGCTATGCCTGCTGGCGGGGCTGGTGCCCTCCAGCAGGAGAGGTTGGGAGCACAACACGCTCTGCCCCTGGCAGGACTCAGCCCCATGCAGAGCGCAGCAGGGGCAGCCACCGGTTGGGCCAGATACAATTAATTGGTGGCTGCCTGCCTGCAGGCCGGATCCAATCAGCTGGTAGGCTGGATTTGGTCTGCAGGCTGTATTCTGCCCACCCCTCGGTCAGGCAGTACATCCAGGCCCCTCTCCAGCATGCCTGCTGAAGCTGGCACAGTACAGGGATGAGGAGATATTGGGCTAGGAGGAAAAGGACTAACTAGAGGGTGGGAGTGTGGCTCAGAGAGAGATGCTGGCCTAGAAAGACACAGACCCTGGGTCCTAGCCAGCACTCTTGGTCCCAGTGGGTCAAAGCCTTCCCCACAGCCCTGCTCTCTATCCAGAGATGCAAGGTACAGTGGCTCAGCACCAAAAGGAGCACTGGAGAGGGAAGGAGATTGTGCCTGGCACTAAGCTAGGAAGTCAGAGACAGGTATGCACATACCCCACCAATGCATAGACTAGTCTGTGCATCCACTTCATAGTCTACACAGGGAAAGCTGAATCCCTATCTATGCATAAGTAATGAAAATACCACTGACATGGCTGTAAAACTGCCATTTAGATGCATAAAGGGCAGGAGAATTGTCTTCTTACTGCACCTGCTTTGAAGATGAATCAGGGCATTGTAATGAAGGAGCGCTGTCTGTAGAGTTCCTGCTCCAGTTCTTGCGAGGCTCGAAAGTATACAGTGACTGAGGAAGGGGAGAGCTGGAAAGGAAGGATGGTCTAAAGGTTAAGACAGCCAAATGCTGCCCTAAGGAACTGGTTCATCTCTGCCTCTGCCATGGAGCTCCTATGTGATTCTGGGCACATCACTCCAACAGCCTTTCTGAGGTGACCGCTAACCGAGTGCTCTGCATTTTCTGGATGCCCAACTTGATACTTCAGGGCAGCGTTCCCTCTAAGCTGTGCAGCTGCACAGGTGCGCCTGGCAGCGTGGCATGAGCGCACCTGTGTGTCTGCACAGCTTAGAGAGAATGCTGCTTCAGGGAAGCAAGAACCTCAGGACATGCACCAAAAATCTGGCTACTTTTTATCCAAATTTGTGTCTCCACTATCTGTAATGGAGACAATACCATCCTCTTGCTTTGTTTGGATCATGTGAAAAAAACTGTTTGTGAAGTGCTCAGATACTACAGGCATTAGTGCCAGAGAGTCCATGAAGAAATCAATAATTGTGTCTTCAGTACATGGGTTGAGCTGTATGCAGAAAACAAGAACAGGGCCTCGCACTGAACAATGGAGATAAAACACTGAACAGGGTAGAGGTGCTTTGGGAGAATGTGGCATGGTCATGTAAACACAGCCTGCAGTAATGCAGCTATACAAGGGAGCTGTGAATTAAGGTTGACAGTCTTAATTTTGGCAGCTTCTGGATTTTAACCACATAGCTGTAATGCTTTAAACAGTTTTTGTACGTAATATAAATACAAACTATATGGAGTTACTGCACATCATAAAACCACTGGGGCATTAGGGCAATTTTGATACCATTTGCAAAATCAAGAACACTGCCCAGCCTCAGTATATTAGTTCCTATTTATGACACAGGAAGAAGATAATTCTTTGGATTTGTGCATTTCTTTAGCTAACATGAGGCTAAAGTACCACCATCA